AGAAGTTCCTTGTGTACATGAGCAAGGAGTAAACCGGTTTCTAAGAATAGTCAAATAACTCCAGCAATATTTATCATACAATTGCAAATTTGGAAAATGACGCTAAGTCAAAGCAACTAGAAGATGTAGATATCATAATTTTCTCCGATAAAGGCATATATCGATATAAGGGACTATATACCTTCCCGGACGAGTCCAAGTTTAAAAGTTTCGTCGAGCACAGGTAATACAGGTCTCAACTCTGTTAGGGTGATGTGTAATGGCCTGTCATTCCTTGACACCCACCCCCCCCCCCCCCAAATTTTTTTTAAAGCGCCTGCGAATGCACTGATGAAATAAAATGCTGATGCAAATCACATTGATTTAACAACAGAACACAGAAAGGCAAAGAAAGATAAACATTTTAAGTCCGAGTAACTCAGAGAAAGCAGAACTTATGGAAAATGGAAATATGAGATAGCTGGAACGGGCAGTGATTTCCTTGAAAAAGAAGAAATCACCTGAGAAGTATGATATCACACATAAAATGATAAAATGTGCGATGTCTGTCCATTATCTTCTATCTGGCTCTCGTCATTGCATGATAACTATTTCACACACCGACGTCACACGACCAGCAGAAAAATGGACGACTGGAGAACAACACGAGACTGTTTCTGCACTTTATTCTTCCACTCGCGACTTCCTCAGCCGGCACATGACATAGACTACTGTCCAGGCATATATTGTAACTCTAACATCAAATACATCGCGTTACCTTTTAGCCGAAATCACAATCGTCCTACCACAAGCACAATAAATGGAAAAACACAGCTGTTCTGCCGCTGACTAAGACAACCGGCAGACATCTTGTCGCCGGACTGACCCGATGGCCAAGTTGAACGTTGGAACTACTTTCACTCTCAAACACATGTTGGATCCACACACCTTCACCCGTTGTCCACGCACTCTGTTCCTTGGTCCAAACGAGACTGACTACCAGCCCTTTCTAAGGCATTATATAACCTTCTAATGCCCTCCTCGTGCTTCTGAATTCGTGTTCTCCGATTAACAGCAGTTTTTGTTTGACACCCTTGAATAATTATACTTCACGTGAAGTTTGACTGTCAGCATTTCTTTACAACTCACGTGTTGTCCCAGTTAGACTCAAAATATTCCACTCACATTTATTACTGACGTCATTCCGTCTAGGACATAATTTATCTAAGAGAAAATGAGGTTCACTAAACAGGACTGGGTAATAGGGCGAAAAGGCCATTGCTAGCAGTCGTAAATTGCAGCTGGAAGAGAGGAATAGTCGCTGATGCGTGGAAGGTAGCTTTATTAATACCAGTCTAGAAAAAAGTAACGGAGCCTGTAGAACTAAATGCCTATCGACCAATGAGATTGCCACAGTCCTATGCATGTGGTGTGTTGTTAAAGCCTGGAGTAGACTGCTTCACCTTTGTAAGGCTTCGTTTTGTAATGAATTAGATACGTTGAAAAGATAAGGCACTTCGGCTGAGACCAGAGATCCATTACGGAGAAGGAACTCTAATCACAAACCTCCAGTCTCCAATGAAGAGGGCTAGATCCCCGAACAAGTAGGCCCATCCTAACAGAAAAGCACGCTAAAGGTACGGGACCTAAAGGTGTCGTAAGTCTAGAACAGTGACACATCCAAACCTGAAAACTTTGGCACCAGACAAATCTCTCTCTAATGTCACTGTTGGACACTGAGTGAGATAAATATGTTGTGTTATGGAGTTGTTGAACCTTGTCAGACAGGCCCACCGCCCCGCTTAACGCCTTGAAATGGACCTAAACAAGGCACTGGTTGTTTTTGCTCCAAACATAGGACATACACTGTACCCTAAATTAATATTTAAAAAAAAAAAAAAAAATTACCCAAACTACTTAGGCATTACCATGCACCCAGAGCTTACAAGAAAAATTGTACGAGAGGCGTTGATAAAACAAAACACCACGTAGTCTTTTTCATCTAATAATGAAGAAAGAAGAATGCAGTTTGCGCATTTAAGATATAGCATGTACCCTTTGTGTGTATCAAATTACCCACAACCAGCCAAATAATACAACTGCATTTAACGGAGCATTGTTGTAACTTAAATTACAAGCAGCGAATTAGGACAACATTTATAGTTGTTAGGATGGAAACTGCTGTGATCATTCACAAGCGTCTCAGTGTTGTATATGGAAGTTTTGCAGTCCACAGAGGACAGTCAGTTGCTGGGTTAAAAGACTTAAATAGCCAGGAATTCGGTTGTTTGAGCTGTGGATGTTCTGCCACGGCTAACGACGAAGAAATGTTGTGGGACTTAACATTTACTGATTGGCATTACAAATGTCAGCCAGCAAAGGCAATGCAACTGATTTATTAAAAACTCGGATTTCTCAGGTTTGCGTATGACGGGTTTCTTGAAGTCTTCAAAATGACATCCGCATGCAAATCAAAGCGATTTCTTCTTAATTACTGATCAAGAAAAGGTTTTGGCTAAGATCGTTACAAGTAACGAAACCTATACACATTATTTTAGATCAGAGACAAAAAGAGTCAATGGAGTGGCATCATGGACGGTCACCAAGAAGAATGACAATGAAGACAGCTCCATTATTCAGAACAGTCATGATTATTGTTTTTTTTTTAGGTCACGGAAGGGCTCATTCCTATGGATGTTATTTCAAAAGGATAGACAATCAATTCGCAAGTTTGCAGTAAAGAGGAAAAGAAACAACATAAAGTCAACTTTTTCGCAGAATTCATCCGCACAAGAATCCAGCAGACCTAGAATTAGGTTAGACTGTACTACCCCATCCATCATATAGTCCCAATTTGGCACCCTCTGATATTTCTGTTTTACTGTCCCGTTCACGAAATAAATTAAATATACTTGATGCGAGATTACAACAGCTAGGTATAAAAATTCATAAAGGAAAGACACAGATAATGAGAATAAATCAGGCAAATAGTAATGTGGTTTCTTTTAATATCACCCGAATTCGAGACGTGGAGTCGTGCACCTATTTGAGCAGTAATGTAGATAAAGATGGGGAAATGACAGAGATATCAAAATAAGAATACAAAGGGCAAGAGTGCTTTCAAAGCACTAGGGAATTTGTAGAGGTCAAAAGAAACTAAAAGAAATACTAAACTTGAAATGTTTAATTCTAATGTCAAATCAGTACTTTTGTATGGGGCGGAAAAGTGGAGAACCCCTAAGACAATGACTAATAAATTTCAGACATTCATTAACTGGTGCCTGCGCAGAATAGAGTTATAGAATAACTAATGTAGAGCTTTGGGAGAGAACTAAGCAAGCTCCAGTTGACCAAGAGGTGAGGGATAAAAATCTGGCCCCGAAGCCACATCATTCTCATGCATTGCTGGCCACAACCTAGGTCCCAGGACTCTGAGGCATAAACAGAGTGAACGTCCAAATGTGTGCCAGCAAATGCTTGCGCCACAACTAATGCATTACAATCTTAACCAACTTCTTGAACAGAATCTACGTGAATAATTCCTAATAACAAAATAACGTTTCAAGACTAGATTAACTTCGTCAACACAGTTCTAGTCCAAGGACGGTCTAATTATTGTGTTATCAAGGGTTTTCAATGTTTGTCTCATCCAATACAACGGTCTTTTACATTACCTTTTAACTCTTTGTGGGTTTTTTCCCTCTACACCACATTCCCCCTGCTCTTTCCCCCATGTTTCAAGTGTTCGTGTTCTCAGTTTCGTTGATTCGTTTCACAGTCTACACCGTTCTATTCCAGAGTACAATTTCTAGTGAGTTCACTAGGAATTGGAGCCGGAGTTAAGGAGTTCATCTTTTGAGATACATCTAGCCCAGCGACTACGCATTCTGCAAAGAAACACCGAGCCATACGGGATAAACCTCATTGCAATTAGGTCAATCATGTTAACTTTAAGGTGGGAGCTAAAACAAATGAGGGGGAAGGGGGTATGGGGTTCTAGCAACATGTTTGACGGTTGCAAAGACTGCGAATGTTAAACAGTTAGTAGGACGTTTACTTCACAGTTAAAAGTCTTCCGAAGACTCGTTTAAAAAAAAAAAAAAATCTACCTACGGACATATTTTGCGTAAATTATCCTTAATGTGACTACAGTAATGTAAATTTACCCATTCATAATTTCTCAGTAACAGTACCATACAAATAAAAGTTCGCAGACCAGTTTCAGCAAAGATAGTTTAACTTGTCAAAACGCATTGACAATCATTTACAAATAGAGTTTCACCTTGGGTTATTTCTTGTTGGAGAAAATTGATATCGATGTGGATAAATATTACATCAAAAATTGCCTGTACTTTTATTTGTGGAATTCTAACGTTAACAATTTTACAAAATATATACCATAACCATTAATGGTTACAACTGATAATCTGTCAGCGATACTTATGTATCAGTGCGACAGAATCTTAGTTTACATGTTTTAAAATCAATAGTTCATATTTTTTAAAGCAAAATCATATAATACAGATAAAACAGATAGCCACATTATATTAAAAAATATAACAAATGACGCACTTGTATTTATTGCCTAATGTGCTTATGGTTCGAAAAGTATCTTGTACTAAACTAACTAAGCCAATAATTTTGACGTTTAAGTCAAGTTTAGAAACCTGAAGAGAAGTCTTTTCAAAACTATGGGGTGACCTATTGGACAGTTATAGGCCGAACTCAGAAGGTTTAGCCAAAATCTTGAGGTGAACTTGACCAACATGTCGTCTTGTACGCCATATACACGGTACTTTGACTGAACCACTAGAATGCATAATAAAAGTAAGATAAAAAGACCCTTTTCCACGCCTTCAGGTCTATTGGGCATATAGGGCCAGACCTAAACTTTACAGACCAATCAGCACTTGGTAGGTGATGTGGTCAACATAACGCCGGCCGCCGTTATCTGCCAGGATTGCACCTGATACCCAATCAAGGCTGAGTCGACCTGGAAGCAAAAACGTTTTGGAAAAATAATGCCAAAAAAAAAAAAGTCAGGCTCCCTCTGGACCCGAACACACGACCTTCCGATCCGCAGGCTAACGTCTAGCGGCTACATCACGGCGACTCCCAGTATGTATAATATCTCAGTTAAACATCTGACTTGTTTTGATGTGATTTCTAATGAAGAATATGCTATTATTTTAATATTTTGTACTGCTACATGGTCGGTGTTTTCGCTGTGTGGAATAATTTCCAATTTTATAAACATCAAAACGTTTGTCGCCATGGGACTCAATGATGGCATTACGGTTTCATTCCTTGCGTTGTCGATCTTTGATTTCGCCTACCTAGTTTTCTCGTTTTGTTTGGGAATCAGTTCCGCTTTTCGTGCTGTTGAGAGCTTATCTTCAAAACGTTTTGATGTGGAACCATATGGAGTCAGCGTGTTTGTAGCTAACGTTCTCATTATGGTGGCAGTGACAAATGTGTTAACAACAACATTTCTAGCAGTTGCCCGTTGTATGTGCGTAGCCAAACCTCTACACTTCAAGAATTACTTTACCGTAAAGAGAACTGTATACTTCATGTCAGGATTTGCCATATTTGCCGTAACTGTCTACATGCCTCTTCTCGCCAACATGGGAATGCTAACCAGATTCGACAACAAGACAAAAATATCCCGACCGTCTCTTTGGGTGTCAAAATACAAAGAACCTATCAAAAATGTCCTTTTTGTGATCATCGATACCGTCCTGCCTGTCTCTTCGCAGATCATCGTTCTCATGTGTATACTAGTCATGGCTAGCAGTCTTCGTGCATCCGCTATGTTCAGACAGGCTTCAGGGATACAGCGCTGTGATAAAAATAACGCAGACATTGTTTCTTGCAGTAAGGACAAAAAGACCGATCATATCAATGTGACAGAGAAACTCTGCGGCAAAGATCTTCGCGTGGTCCAGCAGGTAGTTCTAATATCTCTTGTATATGTCGTGTGCAACACACCAAGAATACTTATCAGCGTTGCTGGTCTCTTGGAACCTGAATTTAGGATTGGAAAACGATACAACAATTTATATCTTAGTCTGAATGCTTTCAGAAAACATGTAGAAATTTTCAATGCAACGACTAATACTTTCATATACTATAAGTTTAATACTAAATTTAGGAACACACTGTTTTCAAAAGGAACATAATTTGTGTATTTTGCTTGTTGCTGGTATTGTTGACAGAGCATCCGTACGCTGACAGAGCATCTGTACGCTGACAGGGGATCCATACGTTGACAGAGCATCCATACGTTGACTGAGCATCTGTACGTTGACATAGCATCCATTCGTTGACAGAGCATCCATACGTTGACAGAGCATCCGTACGTTGACAGAGCATCCGTACGTTGACTGAGCATCTGTACGTTGACATAGCATCCATTCGTTGACAGAGCATCCATACGTTGACAGAGCATCCATACGTTGACAGAGCATCCGTACGTTGACAGAGCATCCATACGTTGACTGAGCATCTGTACGTTGACATAGCATCCATTCGTTGACAGAGCATCCATACGTTGACAGAGCATCCGTACGTTGACAGAGCTCCGTACGCTGACAGGGTATCTATACGTTGACAGAGCACCCATACGTTGACAGAGCATCCGTACGTTGACAGAGCATCCGTACGTTGACAGAGCATCCACACGCTGACAGAGCATCCGTACGTTGACAGAGCATCCGTACGTTGACAGAGCATCCACACGCTGACAGAGCATCCGTACGTTGACAGAGCATCCGTACGTTGACAGAGCATCTACACGCTGACAGAGCATCCACACGCTGACAGAGCATCCACAGGTTGACAGAGCATCCACAGGTTGACAGAGCATCCACACTCTGAAAGAGCATCCACAGGTTGACAGAGCATCCACATAAAGACAGAGCATCCACAGGTTGACAGAGCATCCACAGGTTGACAGAGCATCCACAGGTTGACAGAGCATCCACAGGTTGACAGAGCATCCACAGCTTGACAGAGCATCCACAGGTTGACAGAGCATCCACACACTGAAAGAGCATCCACAGGTTGACAGAGCATCCACATGTTGACAGAGCATCCACAGGTTGACAGAGCATCCACAGGTTGACAGAGCATCCACATGTTGACAGAGCATCCACAGGTTGACAGAGCATCCACACACTGACAGAACATCCACATGTTGACAGAGCATGCACACACTGAAAGAGCATCCACAGGTTGACAGAGCATCCACAAGCTGACAGAGCATCCACAGGTTGACAGAGCATCCACAGGCTGACAGAGCATCCACAGGTTGACAGAGCATTCACACGCTGACAGGGTGACATCCACAGGGTGACAGATTATTCGTACGTTGACAGATCATCCGTTCATTGACAGAGCATCTATACGTTAACAGAGTCTTTACATTAGTTATTCTATTACACCATTTAATTCCTTCTATTCTGCGCAGGCACCAGTTATTGAATGTCTGTAATTTATTAGTAATTGACGTAGTTGTTCTCCATGTTTTCACTCCACAGAAAGGTACTGATTTGACATAAATATAAACAAAATTTAGTTTATTATTTCTTTTAATTTTTTTTTTGACCTCTACAAATTCCCTAGTGCTATGAAAGCTCCTCTTGCCTTTTGTATTCTTATATTAATATCTCTATCGGTTCCTCCATCTTTAATTACATTACTGCCCAAATAGGTGTACGACTCCAAGTCTTAAAGTGGGGTGCATTAAGAGAAACAAAATTACTATTTGCCTGATTTATTTTCATTAACTTTGTCTTTCCTTTATGGATTTTCAGACCAAGCTGCTGTGATCTCGCATCAAGTATATTTAATTTATCTTGCATCTGATTCCGTGAATGGGACAGAAGAGAAATATCTTCAGCAAAGTTAAGATCATCAAGCTGTTTTGTAGGGGTCCACTACTACTTATGTATTTTAAAAAAAGTCACATGTACTTTTTATATTGCAATAACTCTGTTTACATCCAGTTTAGCTCCTGTCGCTTGCAGACTTCTCACTCGTGCACTGACAGAGACAGATAGACGACATGAACAACATGATGCTATGTCAATATTTATTGTTCATTCACTCGCTGATTCTTTGGCCAGTACATGGTGAGCCATATACATAGTCTATGTGTATAATACATCGAATACATTTAACGTTACTTTGAGACGAATACACAGATGTGCATTTACACAACGGTCGCTAAAAATGACAACTTCCACTGACAAGCGAACACAAACAAGTTCAGCGCTGACTGTGTCAGCCAGTTCTAGCTGAAGGCCAGATTGGATATTGAAAACTCACAAACTTATCAGATTCATGTTTTCGTTTATAACTTTACACAAACACTTTCTTCACTCTACATGCACACAGTTCTTTGAACCGTCGCCCACATTTGGAGCTGTCCAGTTCGTGGTTCTCATGTTTTCTATTTAGCACGAGTTTACCGAATTTTATTTATTTGGCCAACATTTTCCCCGTGCATCCCGATTCGTACTCGGTAAGTTCAAATATCTAATTCATATTCATTACCAGATGTCATTCCTATCGTAACATAATTTATCAGGGAGAAAAAAGGATCACTACATATGTATCGGTCCATAGTGTATGTGATGCTAGATTTATATTTATGTACACCAATCGCTTCCAGTAGCAAACCAAACTGAAACATGCCTGTAGTCTATCTGTTTACAGTGATGACGGACAAACCAGAAGCATGTCTAGAAACCACGGACAGGAAGCTGGCGATATATTTTGGCCGTTCTATGATAAAATTAAACTGAAATCGCCTAAGCGCCCTGTTTCGTCCCTTGTTAAAAAAAATGGAACCTATAAAGATAAAGGTAAAGTCAGGAGGTGTGAACCAACGTCAATGCACACGGTTATAAACCATAAGTGATCTGCCACCAATACGGACAGCTCATAAGAATTGTCCGCCTGTGTCGCCGTCCGCACGTAACTCTGTAGCTATAGCGACGTTCCTCCATTTACCCCAGAGTATCAACTCTGGTACCCATTTCCTAGAGGCTGGGTGAACATCGGGAACCGCCTGATTTCGAAAACCGACCGTGGCTGCAGTGAGTCGCAGCTGGATTTGAAAGCTAGCCTCTTATCGTTGAACCTACATAATCTATCAATATTATATGTCTATGAGAGCCACGTTTTGTAAAGGTCCTGATGACTGATTGAGACCTGGCTGCCCAGTATCATCAGGCATGACAGTTCCACTACCTTCATGGACCAGAAAATATCCTCCAGAAACTTCGCTATTTTATTTGGTATTCTGTCTTGAATGATCTTGGGAAGCCTCTTAATCGTATGGCTCATTAGGCGAATGATTCCAACGCCTTCACAATCAACAGCTCTTGACATCTGAGGCAGTTGGACGAAAATATACGTTGCCAAGTCAATTGGAATTATTATGTATATAAAGAGCACATTGGTTACACATAATTTCTGTGATAGCTTCAATGCCAAAGTTTGATAATGATTTCATCATTTCCCATGTTCTTTGATCATGATCAGCTGCTTTGCTGCTTTCTCATGCTTCGTCTTGTTACAAGTCTTCTAGACCTCATCAGCTTGAAAAAAGGTTGATTGTACAGTTTTTGCTTGTTACCTCTATTGTCCCATTGAGTCCACTCTTTTATTATATCTTTTAGTTTCATGCATCCATTTCCTGATAAATCTTTTGTTGCAGCCACCTCACCCACTTCCCGCCCCTTCCATCAGATACAGATTGCTCAATTACATCAAAATGCTTCAATGCTAATTTGTCTATTGAAATTTTTTTTTTTCATTCTAAAACGGCACTGTTGTGATCGGAGTTGTGATCTGCACGAGCTGTGTTTTGACATTCCTAACGCCGTTTTTTTTTCCATCTTTTACTCATCATAAAATAATAAAATCTTTCAGTACCCAGAAACGCATGATGTCTTAATTCCATCTCGTAAATCGCAACCATTATGTGTTATGTTCTTCACCTTATGTATTTGATCTTAACATCATCATCATCATATAGCAGAACGTCGCTCTCATCAAGGTCTGCCTGAAAGAAACTCGGTCTCTCGCCAGCTCTCCCGCCTCACGCACTTTCATACTCAAGGAGTCTCTTATATGCTGTGCCCATCTTCCTGTTGGTCGGCCCCTGCCCATCCTTCCTGGTAAATTGCCTTCTGCTATAAATTTTTTCCAATTTCACTTGGCGCTTGATATGACCAAAATATTTCAGCTACCGAGACAGAATGCTGTTTATTAGCCAATCTTCTTTGATGTTAAGATCTTTCAAGATGTCAGTATTTCTCCTCTTTTTCGTCCAGGATATTCTGAGAATCTTTCTATAGCATTTAAGCTCAAAAGCCCCTATTCTCTTTCTTAAGGACTGGGAGATAGTCCACGACTTACATCTGTATGTTGCTACAGGGAAGATGAATGCTCTTAAAACTCGAATTTTGATCTCCTTGCTGGTGCTTAACCATTTACTTTTTAGGCTGTTTAATCTTCGCATTGCTTTGGCCATCCTCCTGTTAATTTCTGTCCAACAGTCTCCATTGCTTTTTGTTATAGAGCCCAGATATTCAAAGTTTGTGATATTTTCAATTTCTTCACCATTTATTGTTATTTTTGGGTGACATCCAGTTTTATCCATGGAAATTATTTTCGTTTTCTTTAAATTCAAATCAATAAATTGATCATAACACTTGACAAAAATCTGATTTCTACTTTGGTCACTTCCATTTAGATGTCATCAATTATTATTTTTAAAGTACCTGCCAATTTGGACATCTGCTGCAGAAGCTTCTGAGACTATTATAGTTGGCTACTTTTACGCATGGCCAATTAAATACATAAAAACGTGGCATCATTAGGCAGGTTGACACCATTTGTCATTGTCGAGTTGGTCATGCGTTGAAGTATAATATTTTTTTATAGTGAGTCGCTATAGTAATTTGGATCTGACAGGCTGGATTATCTGTATCGTGACTTAGACTTTAGATTTGTATGTTGTCTAGTGTGCACGTCCATCTATCTCTCTAGTTCTGCCTAACAGCCTAATTCAGTACATGTCTATTTATTAATTAAATATACTGCAAGCAACACGTATGTCTCCACCTTCCTTGGCATGCCTTACAAGTATTACAATTAAAACAGTAAA